CTTCTCACGAACAGGAAAAAGGCAATATATATTGCCTCCTTCAGTTAAACTAAATTACTTACTTACTTACGCCTGTTACTCCTCATGAAGGAGCATAGGCCGCTCACTAGCATTCTCCGACCAACCCTGTCCTGGGCAATCCTTTCCATATCTGCTTCTATTTCCTGACGTAACGTGTTCTTTGGCCTTCCTCTTTTCCGCTTCCCTTCAGGATTCCAAGTTAGGGCTTGTCTCGTGATGCAGTTTGATGATTTGCGCAATGTATGTCCTATCCATTTCCATCGTCTTTTCCTAATTTCTTCTTCAGCTGGAAGCTGGTTTGTTCTCTCCCACAAAAGGCTGTTGCTGATGGTATCCGGCCAATGGATGTTGAGTATCTTGCGTAGACAGCTATTTATAGATACTTGTATCTTCTTGATTGGTGGTTGTTGTAGTTCTCCAAGTTCCAGCTCCGTACACTAGAACAGTCTTGACGTTGGTATTGAAGATTCTCACTTTGATATTGATTGAAAGTTGTTTTGAGTCCCATATGTTCCTCAAATGGAGGAATACGGCCCTTGCTTTGCCAATCCTCGCCTTTACGTCTGCATCCGATTATCATTATTTATGATGCTTCCCAGGTACGTGAAAGATTCCACATCTTCCAGAGTTTCGCCATCAAGAGTGACTGGATTGTTGTTCTCCGTGTTGCATTTGAGGACCTTGGTTTTCCCTTTGTGTATTTTGAGGCCTACTGATGCAGAAACTGCTGCGATAGGAGGGCTAGGTCATGTGCGAAGTCCAAATCGTCTAATTGATTCTGAGCTGGCCATTGTATTCTGCGTTTTCCCTCAGATGTCGAGGTCTTCATAATCCAGTCGACCACCAGAAGAAAGAGGAAGGGAAAGAGTAGACAGACTTGTCTGACTCGGGTCCTTACTTGGAATATGTCTGTCAGATGTCCTCCATGCCCAACCTTGCACTGTAGTCCGTCGTATGAGTTCCGGATAATGTTGACAATCTTCTCAGGAACTCCATAGTGTCGAAAAAGTTTCTATGAAGTCCTCCTATCTACACTGTCAAATGCTTTTTCATAATCAATGAAGTTGATGTACAGTGATGAGTTCCACTCAACTGATTGTTCGACGATGATCCGTAGTGTCGCAATTTGGTCTGTGCACGACTGATCCTTACAGAATCCAGCTTGTTGATCTCGAAGTTGGGCGTCTACTGAGTCTTTCATCCGGTTCAGCAACACTCTGTTGAAGACTTTCCCTGGTACCGACAGTAGTGTAATGACTCTGTAGTTTTCACATTTGCTCAGATCTTTCTTTGGAATCTTGATGAGGTGTCCTTCTTTCCAGTCCATCGGCAGTTGTTCCTCCTCCCAAATCTTCTTAAATAGAAGGTGAAGCATGTTTGTAGTTACTTCGATGTCTGACTTCACTGCTTCAGCTGGTATGTTGTCGTGTCCTGCTGCTTTCCCGCTCTTGATTTGTCTGATGGGCATCCTGATTTCTTCCGTCGTTTGGTGGATTGACATGGGTTTCGCTGATTCCCAGTACTGCCAAGTTGTATATCCTCATTTCCGTTGCTATTTGACTAGTCTTCCCGGTCTCTTACATTGTCCGTACGTTCCATGTACCTATTAAAATTGTTGCTCTGGTTGTTAGAAGGGGCATCGGCCTCGTGGCTTCCGAAGGAACTCGGCTTTCATCATGAGGCGTCATAGTTCTTGTAAATGAAGGGCAGAATTTAAATGGTTTGAATTATTTTTCCTGGTTAGCGTTTTTTTAGCGAGTTAGTTTTCTACGGGATGGGGTCGCTAACCCCATGCCCAACCTTCCTCCTTTACCCGGGCTTGGGACCGCCAGTAACTCCAGAAGAGCTACAGGCGTAGTATTTTTTGTATCTGTTACTGCAACATGTATCACCAAAGGTGGTTGCCACTTCTTAAAACAAAGAACGTGAAAAAGAGAAGCCCAGTACACATGGATTATGAATGATGTTGGTTTTTATGGCTTTTGAAGATGACAGCAAATCATCCTAATGTGTGCAAGCTTTAATCAGAATTCAAAGTACTGTCTATAATCATTTTTGAGATATCTAAGATTTTGCTTCGAAATTATTTCATTTTCATGTGTAATCTGCCCTTTCCTATACAGCCAATAGATTGGAATTATTGGACATCAAAATTTTCGGTCGATTCATCAGTTAAACCAATTGATTGGGCAATCCCAGGAACTAGTGGAGGTCTTACAACGTTACACACATTTATCTATGAAAAACTGTCTAAATACGCTGATTGTCGTAACGACCCCACGAAAAACTGTTTGAGCGACTTGTCACCATGGTTTCATTATGGTAATTGTTATTTGATTTGTCACAATTCCTATTATGATGAATATGCGCCACTATATTTCAGTGTAATTTTGACTCACCAAGATGATGTTCGTCGAAGACACACACTTAGCATACTTCACCACCACAGAAGCTACGTACTGTTGGAAGTACACACTTTAGATAGTTACGCGGACTCTTCTACCAATGATTTCAGTTTTATCGATATGTTTAGGCTTTCAGATTAAATGGATGTGTGTTTTGTTTTTACTTAGGCTGGGCTACGTTTCGTGAAGCAGTTTCTCAGAAGTGGGTAAACTATTTTAGTTAGTGTCGAATAACTTGATGATAGACATCACTAACTTCCTAGATGGTACAATGATTCAATTATTCAGAAATATTTATGGAAATGAATTTTCAAAATCAGGCCTTTGGCTCCGCTATTCAGAATACTGTAACCATTTGGAGACTTCGTGTTTTCATACTCAACTAATTTTATTAACCTTCACATTTTAGGACTAGTATATAAGGTGAATTAAAATTTTCTGTTAAAAACTTGACAGTAAATCGCATCTCAATGGACGGATTGTCCTTACGAGCATCCGCTGTACCTTTGACGTAAACCATACAAGTAGGCAACTGGTGAGACTATAATTTATGGACAACCTTTGAGCAACGCTAAAATTATGATTTACAGTTCATGGTTTGGGTTAGGAATTAGGCTTAGGATTTTCGCCACAAATTTGCATCAACTATAATACCGAAATAGTATTTAGCCCAATGAGTGAATGAATCGCGCTCTAACATCCAAGATCTGTTATTGTAAATCTGATTGGTTCGTTCATGAGTCTCGCCAAGCTACCTTTTTTCTTAAAACCGCATCCCGTTTGTATATGATGTGAAATTATGGCACTTCAATCTTCGTGATTGAAGCTCAGTATTTCTTTAACTGCTCTTTACTTTAGGGAAGGGCATCACTCTGTTTGCTTGTAATACAGGTTTGCAGAAGCCGTAGACTCCCTGACCACATTTTTTCAGCTGATTGCAAGCGTATTTGGAAAGTCTGTTGCTAACTATATTTCTATACTTTGTTAAATCAGGTCAAATTGCACCACAACGAGCGATCATGGAGGTAAAACTTTGGCGCCATAAGTACAAGGATTCCGTAGATGCCTTCGTGGAGGAAGCCTTTATTCGAAGGGAACTCTCGGATAATTTCTGTTATTACAACCCGAAATATGACTCAATTGAAGGTGAGTGTAATCAGTACAGCTGTCAAAATAAATATTATTTCCAGCCATGCTGACAATCAAAAACCCTTAACCACGTGCCTGCTTGCACAGTAAAATAAGAAACGTTAGTGTATTCGTGCTAAAAAACCTAGTGTCTTGAAGTGTTGCTATAACTGAAAAATATTTGCTGCGGACTAAGGGTAGCGAATTATTGATCGGACCAAAGACGCACAAACACGTAGAACGACCTAGGGTTTTGATTGGTCTCGCTTCCCTGTCTAACCCAGCCAGTTGAGTCCAGAACGCAAGTCACAGCCTCGGATATATGAATCATTATATTTCAAACATACTTTGTTTATATACCAGTCAAGCAGTCCACAACGTACCATAAAATAGAAGATAACATTGTACAATAATGGCCAACAGGAAAATAACACGTTAAATAAATATTGACCAATAAGATGATACCATTTCATGTCCAAGGATAGCATTAGGCTTAACAGGATAATTTTTGGGATATTTCCCTGAATATCCCAACAAGTGTATACTTAATCTTTAGTTGATCTGAAAGAAACTGGGGAGCAATGCTCACAATCTGTTTGACTCTTGAGAAAAACTCAGGTAGACCACGTAGCTTTCTAGATGCAAATTTCATAACTATTACTGCTTACAGTCATTACATACATTAGCATATGATGCATCTGTTTCGTAAGCAAAATCAGTATATGGCACAGCAATTTTCCCCCATCGCTATATAATTGTTACACGTGACCAATGATAGTATAAGGTGGGTTGGGAGGATTCGTATTTTGACTAAGACTGTGTCAACAAGGACAAAGCAGATTTAACGCAAAAACACTTTTAATTTCTAAAGCAGACTAAATGCCCTATATTCAGTCAAGTATATGGTGCAATTGTATTTAACAAGTACTAAATGACCAAACGGCTTTTTTATTACTAGGAGCGTGGAAGTGGGCTCAAGACACTCTCGCGCAACATGCTCATGACAAGCGCAACCCTTCATATAGCGAAGAAATCATGATTGCAGCTGAAACTAAAGACGATCTATGGAATGCAGCACAGCGTCAGCTAGTACGGTCAGGCAAACTTCATGGGTTTCTACGTATGTACTGGGCTAAGAAAATATTGGAGTGGCATGGATCCGGTCCGTCGGCCGCTCTCAAGTTGGCACTTTATCTCAACGACCGTTATGCACTGGACGGTTCCGACCCGAATGGGTTTGTTGGTAAGACTTGAATAGTTTGTTGTTATATTCTGTGTTCCAGGTGTTATGTGGTCCATATGCGGTGTGCATGATCAAGGTTGGGCGGAAAGGCCTGTTTTTGGAAAAATCAGATGCATGACCTATAAAGGATGTTTAGGAAAGTTCTCAGTACCTACGTTTGTAGCGCGATACCCCAAGTAGTTATATACAAATAAAAATCCATATTTTTAAATCTAGTTTTTTATTCAATACAAGCTTTTTCCAAATACCAAAAAGCGGTCCAACTCATCTTAATTCACTGGGAAAATCACACCTTGACAAAAATAAATGCAGGTTTTGGAAAGAACAGCGGCAATTCACAAATGATATCTATGGAGAATTACCGCTATTATGCCCACATGGATGCACATACTGAATTGGTAATCAAAACTAAATTTGGGAAGGGACAACAACTGCACCTATTTGGTGGCGTGAATTCCAAAGTAAATTATGAAAGCAAGTTTCCGCTGATGTAAAAATTGTCGAAAATGATTTAAATTATAAAAAACGACAGGATCAAAAAGTGTATTGTTCATGGTAGTTAATTATGACTGCTAATTGCCCCACCAGTCTGGAGAACTCTGTGACACCGAGCATGGTTGTGAATCGTAATAGCTACTGTCGCGAAGCAATCCATAGTCTCTAGACGTTGGGCCAGTAGGACGATTAGAATTATTAGCACCACGTGAGGGAGTTTGTCGATAATCACGAGCACCAAAACCGCCACTGAAATAAAAGTTTAATTATATTCAGCAATATAACAAAAGACCCAACAGTAATGACTTATGACAAAATGACCACTCCTAATTCAAAGGATGGAAAACGGATCAGTGTACATTCCAAAACTGCAAGTTAAATGGTTCAACATGAGTCAAATATATTTTATTTGGCACACCCACTCAAACAACATGGTAGACAAACAAATTTTATTGTGATTAGATTAGCCTGTGTTTATCTTGAAGCTAGCAGCATCGTTGTGGAATAATGCGCAGATTACCAACTGGGTTAGTTACAATTCACTCATTATTGGACAGTCGGCCGAAAATCATATTTTAGTTATATCAAGATAGCTTATCTATGGTTTGTCAGTTGATGCATTTACCGTCTGTCAGGTTTAACAAAGTCAATCAGATACTTTGCCACTTCCTATGGCGCTATCTTTTTTAACACTCAAAAGTATAATTGTAAAGCCAAGTCTGAAAGTAACTATTTTTATGGACTTACGAAACATAGTGTCCAAGCAACGTCCTTAAACCTTAAGATAAGTGAAACTGAGTCGTCTCCATATTTTAAATCACTACGTAGTATTGTTACGGAACAGGATTTTCGGAATGCTTCACCCTAACTTCCTAATGAGATGATCTAGACGGCCCAGTAGTCATGACAACTTGTACAATGTAAGAAATCAGAGATGAGTTGTAAAATTACCGACGATTGTTTCTTGGACGTTGGAAACTTGTAGGCCTTGCGTCTCCTGTAATTGCTTTCAACCAAGGCGGGATATCCTGATTAGCTTCTTCAAGCAACTCGACTAGACCACGGGCCAAGTTGCGGTTTTTGTCATTGAAAAAAGAAGTAGCCAGTCCAAGATTTCCAACACGACCAGTTCGACCGATGCGATGTACGTACTCTTCAATATCTGACGGAAGATCGTAATTGATAACGTGCTGTATTGTAAATGTAATAAACAATGAGGATTTAAATTTACATGCCAAAGAGACGTAGGATTTTACGCGTTATTTGTGAAACTCGGAAAGCCAAAAGGATGAGGTAATACACATAGACTGAGTCCATTCTTAGTGGGTAACAAGCCATACCTATTGAGAATGAAACTATTAGATGTTCTGAAGCACACACTAACATAACTTAGATGTGGTTGGACCGGTGGAATAACAATAGTTAAATAACGACATACTCTCGAGTAACTGTTTTTCGTTCGAGTTGGTCTAGAGAAATGTGGACTTGGAAGTGGTGTAAATCAACAGTTAGAGATTACAGATGATGGGATCAAAACCGACCACGGCGTAGTATACTGAAATAACTGATAGTTGGACAGGTGCGACAACTGCACTTTACACGCATGCAATTGTCAATTTGTACCTTCACTACAGTTTACCCTCAAACGAGATATTCATCATTTCAGTTGCGGATAAGCTAGTTCGACTAAGAGTAGCATAGGCGAATAAGTTGACAACAGAATTTAGAAGTTTCATTGGTCGTTAAGGCGACTGACTTTTCGCTAACAAGTGGCAGGTTTGAACCACGATTCACTCATATCGGTTTGAGTAACTGGGTATTATCATTATCTCCCACATTAATGCGTTTCAAAGTCAAGCAAACAAATCTAAATCCTTAAGTGAGTTAACAATAGCCTATCAGTGCCGATAGTGTGGTTGCCAACAGGATTTTTGCATGATGTTTGCCTAACTTTCGCACGTTTGAGTCACATGGAATATATTCCAAGTGTGTCTAAATTAAGTCCAAATGCTTAATAGACTGAGTTGTATAACTAAACTCCGCACGAGTAGAGGACATGTGAAAGCCGAAAGTACTTAAGCATTTCAGTTTTTAACGTGATTATATTGGATTTTGAGTGAGCAAAGTTTGTTTTTATGTCAAGTATGTGTGGTCGCAAATAAATGTGATATTGTCTCACACTGCTTTGTCTTAAAATGCTTCAGAGTCGTGGTACCCTATCAAGATTTATGATCTATTGGTCCTGTGTGGAAATAGGTACAAATACATACTAGTAGAATAGATGTGCCGGATTTTCGGCTTCTTTACTTCTTATACTGTTATATTGCGGGTTCGCCTAAATGAACTGGCCTTCCATAATCCAAGTTAATAAATCATAATTCGTAAGCATCTTTATACTTCGAATGTGCAGATATATTTTCCGCACAACTAAAGCAAATGAATCAGTAAACTGTATGAGTTTACAAGATTTATATCTTAAATATAAATGTAATGATTGGATTCACTGAAATGTGAGAATTTTTTTTGCAAATAAAACCCTCACTTAAATTGTACGATATCGGAAAGGTTATAGTTTTATCGAACTTCTATCAAGAATGAACTGATATGGCGAACGTTCTTTAAGTAAAGTTGGTACACAACTTATTGGAATGCATAGTGAATGAGTTAAATATGTAGTATATGACGACAAGTGCAGCATTCAACAAATAAGGGGAATACGTTTAAACAATGTAAAAACAAAAAACGAATGCATAGGATGATCAAAGCGAGTTAGGTAGGAACTTACCTTGACATTTGGAATATCCAAACCACGAGCTGCAACAGCTGTTGCAACGAGCACTGGCGTTCTTCCCGAACGAAAACAAGACAACGCTAATTCTCGATCTTCCTGAGTACGATCTCCATGTATACTGGCAACTTGAAACTTCTGTGAGTATAAATAGTTTTCAAGAGCGTTTGCACCCCGTCTTGTTTCAACAAAAACTAATGTTAGTGTACCTGCTTCTGGATAATTAAACATGTAAAGAAATTATTATTTGTAAAACCTGAGTGAGCAAGCAAATCGATTAGAGTATCTCGTTTAGCATTCTCCTCAACCCAAAGTATCGTTTGCGTGATATTTTCACTCGTACTCCCAACACGTCCAACGGTCAAAAATATATAATTGCTTAAGAAATCTTTGGCTAAAATCTAAAGAAACACAATAAGAAGTTATAAGTACCTGAATCTCATTAGGGAAAGTTGCCGAGAACATAAGCGTCTGTCTCTCGCCGGAAGGTGGGAAAGCATCTTGCTCCACAATACGACGAATCTGTGGTTCGAACCCCATGTCTAACATACGATCAGCTTCGTCAAGAACAAGGAACCTATGGGAAATTACGCATTACTTTGAAACTCACCGACAATGGTCTAAGCCGACTCGACCCCGTTCTAAAACATCACTTAGTCGACCTGGAGTGGCAACTAACAGATTACAGCCTTCGGACAACTCCATCAACTGCGTTCTCATATCAGCACCACCGTAAAGAACACATGGTCTGATAAGAGATCTATAGGAAAACTTTCGGGCATCATCAAAAATCTGCGATGCTAATTCGCGAGTTGGAGCCAGTATAAGAGCTACAGGGAACTGTTTTCTTCGGTTGTTGTTTATCTACTTAAATAACTTGTCAAGCGTAACAAACTTACAGTGGCGCATATAGAATCACCGGGACCCTGCTTAATCATGTTGTTTAGGATTGGAATAAGGAATGCAGCAGTTTTTCCTGAACCAGTTTGTGCACATGCCATTAGGTCCCGACCTGATGCAATTATTGGTATAGCATGCTTTTGTACTGGTGTAGGACGCTCATAGTTGGCCAGTTCAACGTTGTCACGTACAATTTTATGAAGTGAAAGTTCGGTAAATGAAGATATAGTTGATGCACTGTCGTTAAAGTTTGGCCCCGTTGCATTTACAGGAATGTTGTCGTATTGGTTAAAGTTTATGCCTGCGCTCACTTTCTTGAAAAGCTCTTGTTCTGTACGCTCGTTTCGTGGCAACTGTTGAGTCCAGTCTTCAGTGGGTGCATTCCAACTGCGTCTGGGAACATTTGACCCCAAAGTAGAATGACCACCCCGTGACTGAGTACTACAAACAATCACAGTAGAAGAAAAATATTGACATACTTCACGTTGAAGCTTGACCACCGTGAGTCAGATTGCTGCCTTTCGTTCCCAACTTTTGATCCCCTGTTACTATACGAACCACGAAAAGGACGTCCACGAAAGTTATCACCACCAATACCACGGGAAGGGCGACTAAATTGACTAAAATCATTTACAGAGTCTGCGAGACCATCTGAAGTTCCACGATTTCGCAAATGAGGAGGCACATAAAGTTTGGCACCACTACCATCTGGACCATTTGAATGGATAGCCATAGACGAAAACTGCAATAAAATTAGTATATAAAATCCACTGTTTAAACGCATAACTGTCATAGTAAGAGAACCTATTAAAAACTGCATAGGTAAACGAACTAACAGAAACTGATTTGTTTTCTTAGGTTATTGACTTAACCACAAATGAACTGCACACTTATTAAGAGCGATTAAAATTTTATAATGATTATCAATTTTCATACTTACGTCTGTTACTCCGCGTGGAAGGTCACCCATCAGCATTCTCCGTCCAACTCAGTTCTGAGTAGTCCTTTACAGTTGCTATTCTTCCATTTGATGTCTGCTTCTAATTCTCGGTGCAGTGTGCTCTTCGGCCTTCCTCTTTTCCGTTTCTCTCCAGGATCCTCCTTGTTTATCGATTATGCTGTCCAGATAATTGAAATTGTCCACCTCTTCGAGTTTTCCATCAAATGTGGTTGGGTCGGTGTTCTCCGTGTTGTATTTGAGGATGTTACTTTTTCCCATGTATATGTTGAGGCCTATTGATGCAGAGGCTACTGCTACATTGGTTGTCTTCATCTGCATTCGTCGGTGTGTATAGGATAGAAGAGCTAGGTGATCTGCAAAGTCGGAATCTTTTAGTTGCATGCAAGCTGTCGATTGTATTCCATGCTTCCCGTCACATGTGGTCTTCATAATCCAGTCAACCACCAGAAGGAAGAGAAAGGGGAGAGTAAGCAGCCTTGTCTGACTCTGGTCCTTACTTGGAATGCATTTGTCAGCTGTCCTTCATGCACGACTTTGCAGTGAGATGTTGACTATTTTCTCAGCTACCCACTCCATAGTGTTGAAGAAGTTTCCATAATATTTTCCTATACACGTCAAATGCTTTTTTATAATGAAGTTGATGTATGGTGACAAGTTCCATTCACATTATTGTTCAACGATGATCTGTAGTGTGGCGTTTGGTCTGTGCACGACCGATTGTTACGGAACCCGGTTTGTTGATCTTGAAGTTGGGCGTCTACTGAATATTTTATTTCTTTCAACATCACTTAGCTGTAAACCTTTCCTGGTATTGACAGTAGTACGATTCCTCTGTAGTTCTCGCACCTGCTCAGACCTCCTTTTGTATGCAGATGAGGTATCCTTCATTCCAATCTGATGGCACTTGTTCTTCCTCACAAATCTTCCTGAATAGAGTCAGTCAGTCAGCTACAACGTAGGACCAGGCACATATGTGCATCGGTCCAGGTTGTCATACCTCATTAGCACAACAAGATGAACACCGGATTCATAGGAGTGGTTAGGTCAAAGGTTGCAATAAGGATATAGTATAGGAAGGAAGAATTAGTTCGTAGAAAGAAAGATATGAAGTGATTTTAATCTCTTAGTTTAAGGGAAGACAGGGAGTGTATACACCGACGCCATTGTGATCGATTCTGAGGCATGTCACCAAGAGTCTCCAACCATTGGTTACGATAGTCACGCGGACCCCAACCAAGTAGTCTGCATCTACCAACATGGCTCAGACTAGAAGTTAGTGACTTCAAGCACTGATGCCACGTTTTGGTTTGGCCGCCCCTAACTTTCTTCCAACCAACCCCTACACCGGTTAGCATTGCACGTCGTGGTAATCGGTGTTCAGGCATACGTAATACGTGGCCCAACCATCTCAGTCGATGAAGATTCATAACCTCATCAACTGATTTACCATCATTCCCTAATACCCTGCGTCTAACCTCACTATTACTTACCCGGTGATCCCAGCAGACGCCAGTAATATTTCTAAGGCATCTGTGGTCAAATACTAATAGCTTACGAGTGTCTTCTACTCTTAATGGCCATGTTTCGCTGCCGTAAATTAAAACAGAACGGACTGCTGCGCAGTATACCCGTCCTTTTATTGATAAATGGATATCTCGCCTCCGCCAAAGGTGACGTAAGTTGGCAAAAGCCAAACGAGCTTTTCGAATCCGTGCTGAGATTTCGTCAGACACCAACCCATTAGGGCTGATCAGACTTCCAAGATAAGTGGAGTTGTCAACGCGTCCGACTACTTCACTCCCTATCCTTAGTTCGGGTGTTGACGCAGACCAGTCCTGAAGCAACAACTTGCATTTAGAGGGAGAGAAGCGCATCCCAAACATTCTGGCATTGTTGCTTAGTGCTACCAAAAGACTCTGCATTTTGTCAGCGTCTTCACCAAACAGGACTATGTCATCTGCGTATTCTAAGTCGATAAGTGGACCTCCTGGTAGGAGATCAATACCCGAGAATTCAGTCGACGAGAGTGTTATTTCCATCAATAGGTCTATGATGAAGTTAAACAAAAATGGAGAAAGTGGACAGCCTTGACGGACACCACTTGAAGTTGCAAAAGTAGTTGACAGTTCGCCATAAGCCCTGACTTGACTAGTAGTGTTCGAGTAAAGAGCCTTCACAAGGTTTATGTACTTCTGAGGTACGCCTTTCAATGACAGACACTGCCACAGAGTCTCGCGGTCTACAGAGTCAAACGCTGCTTTAAGTCAAGAAAGACCACCATCGTCGGACGCCGATAGGTATGCCTGTGTTCTAGAACCTGACGAATGGTGAATATGTGGTCGATGCAGCCACGACCAGGTCTAAAGCCAGCTTGGTTCTCTCGAGTTTTTAGTTCACGAGTCTTAGTTAGGCGTCTGATAATTATCGAGGCCAGTATTTTAGATACTATGTTTGTTAAACTAATCCCTCTGTGGTTGTCACAGGATGATTTTGACCCTTTCTTATATATTGGGACGATGAGTGATTGCGACCAGTCAGATGGGATAAAGTCTAATTCCCAGATCTTAGCTAAAATATTAGTCAACCTAATCGCTAAAATTGGACCACCATTCTTAAAGACCTCTGGAGCCAATCCATCTGGACCAGCTGCCCTTCCTCGTTTCAGATTAACTATAGCCTTTTGAACTTCAGCAAGAGTTGGGGGACCTACTTCAATGTTCCATTCACACTGTCTGGGAATGGAGGGTAGTTGTAGAGTAGCTGGAGGCCAGCTGAACTATTCTCTGAAATGTTCCGCCCATCGTTTTAAACGCCTGGACTGGGAGCAGATGAGTGTATCGTCTTTTTCCGATATAATCTCACTTACACTTGACTTATTAATTCCAGTTTCTTTTATTAGTCTGTAAAGCTGTCTTGTGTTCCCTATAGTCGCCGCCTTTTCCATCTCTTTTGCTTTCGTTGCCCACCACTTCTCACGGTCGTTTCTTAGACTTTTTCTTAACCTAGATCTGATTTGTTGTCGCTCTTCCTCATGTTCGGAACCTGATGGGACGAGTTTGCGAGAATCCATCAGTGTGATAAGCTTTGAAGAAATCCACTGGTTCTTTGTAACTCTGTGGTTTAAGTCACTAATAGATTTCATCGCTGTTTCCACAGCTGTTTGTATATGTTTCCAAGCAACATTTGGGTCAGCCTCGTCTTCAGAACTACCTAATCGTGACCTCAGTTTTTCCTGGAACCTACTTTTGGTTTTCTCGCTACTCAGTTCGGTTCTAATGGGTCTTTTTACTGTGGCTTTTTTGCGTCCAGTGAGGCGCAAGCAGATGCGTGCCCGTATTAGGGCGTGGTCGGAGTCCAAGCAGGTACTCCAGAATGAGCGACAATCTTCTACCGACCCTCTCCAACGATGACTGATGGCAATATGGTCTATTTGAGTCCATCGTTGGTTTGGTGCAGGCGGTCGCCACATTAGACGATGTCTCTCCTTATGCTTAAAATTTGTGTTTGCTAAAAATAAACGATTGTCTGAGCACAGTTGCAGCAGACGGTCACCATTATCTGTTCGCTGTGCCAGAATACTAAAATATCCACCTAAATACCTTTCTGTTTGGTTTAAGCTACCTATCTGAGCATTAAAGTCACCCCCTACGAGGACTATGTCTGAGCGTTTAGCTTTCTGAAGAAGTTCAGAAAGCTTTCTGTAAAATTCATCTTTCACTTCATCTGAGCTGCAGTCAGTGGGAGCGTAGGCAGAAACGACGAAAAGGCAACGACGTGTGTCTCTATCCTTCCGAGTTCTTACGGAGCCGTTTAGCCGAACAGCACATAAACGACTGTTGACGGGGATCCATTATAATAGTGCTTGTTCCACCCTCGTACTTAGTGCTATGTCTACCAGTCCACTAAAACTAGCCATCGGGTCACCAGGTACACGGAGGGTGTATCTCGTCGGCCCTCCGTTTTGCCGAGGTGAGGTCAAGTGAATGACCACACTAGGATCCTGTATGCACGTTTCGGAGACACGGCATACATCAATGGAAAGAGACTCTAGGGTTTTAGCCAAGGAAGCCTGCTGACCGATTTGACATAGAGTGCGTACGTTGAAAGCTCCAATGTGTAGTTTGGAGCGAGGTTTCAGTAGACTGGGGACAGTGTTTTGAGCACTAGAATCGTTGGCTATGGTGACACTTGAGGAGGAAGCCGAAAGAGGAAGTTTAGAGTTGAAAGTCGATGTAGGAGGAATAATAGGAGTTGAAGAGGAAGGTTGATTATGAATACAGTGGTCTTGGGTGCTGTTAGAGGTATGAGGGCGATTATCACTTCCCGGTTGCCCACACCGTGGAAGGGTTGTTCTGGAGGTACCTGAAAAGAAAATTGGATTAGAGGCGGTCTCAGTGACCTGAGAGAGTGACCGCAGTGCCCAACGGACAACTGCTTGAGGCCGGTCGCGCACGGCCTTTTCGTGGGAGGTTTTTGACGTGTTAGCTCTGTTCTTCAAAAGGCCTTACCGCCGGAGACGGAAATCCGTGAGGTAAGGTGAGGTGCGCATTTTTAGGGTCGACCTTTTCTAACCCCACTCCTCCTTGTGGGAAGGCAGCATCGCTGTCATGCTGGTTGTCTGAAGGAAACCCCTTACTGCTGTCACACCTCTGTACAGTCAGCAGTACGACTTCGTCTTCGGACCTTGGGTTTGTTGCTTTTAGTCTTACCGCTCTTCAACCGACCTGTCTGACATGGTAGGACCTTGAGGAACGGTTGTTCCAGCCAATATAGCTCGGTTG